CTTTGTTAAAAATACTCGCACAAAATATCTATAAAAGTGCCCAATTTCATTATTCAACATTAGTGATAAAACCGAAATTTAAAAAAAAATGTGAATATTCAAAAAAAAGAATTCGAATGGACGAAAAACAGTTTCATTAATTTTGGGCTGTTTACAATTGCGAGAGCAAGCAAGTGTCTTTTAATCCGAACTAAAAGTTTTCTCCGTAGACAACTTTTCTTACAAATCTGTGAGAAATTGAACTTGTTTTATTTTTGAACCTTAACAACGTCCAGGCTTCTTCCCACTCCACTTTGTCTTGAAGGAACACTGTTGCCTTTGTACCCTAAGTTCCGGGTTTTGAGTCCCTGTCGGACCTTTTTTCAGTATGCATGAAATCAAAAGTTTTCCAGGGAAAAACGAATTGGCGAATTTTGTTTGTCTGTTTAATTTTTATTGGCTTAATTTTTTACGCAAGGATTACTTTTTTGAAATTGAGCAGTTATATTATAATTGACACTTTTGTCAATTGTCTAATTGTTTCGACTTTTGTAACGAAAGCAATGGAATATTTAAGCTCGGGGTGGGTTTTTCTTCTTCAGACATTTTTCGACTTTTTAATGGGCCAATTTTGACAAATTTTTCTTTTAGCATTCAAAAATTTTTAATTTCCTGAACGTAAATATGAAAAAATCCACCTGTGTTTAATTTTTTGTAAATTTATATGTGTTTAAATATTGCCATTTTGCATTTAGAGAGATTTATCCGTCTTAGAAATCGTTCCAATTTGGTTGAAGGAATCTTATTTGCCATAATCGATTTGGTACTAGGATCGAAATCTATGACTTTGTATTTTATATGGCGTTTGGGTGGATGATTCTGCAAAAATTTCAAATTAAAAAAAATCATTTCTATTCATTTCTAAGAAAAATTCATTTCTATTTATTCATTTCAAATCATTTTTTAACAATTCATTTCTGAAAAAGTTCAAATATATGTTCATGTTATTACAGCTCCATAGACCTTAGAAGGCACTCAGATTATTCAGGGTTTTGCCCTGATACGAGAAATTGTTTTCTGTGTCTTTAATAAGATTAAAAGCTGGTATCGAAAATGAGCTCAAGAAAACTAACTTAAAATCTTGAAAAACACCTTGCCTGGAGCTCAAATGTTACATGATCTTCCAACTGTTTTAAAAAAAATTGTTGGTGGAATTGAGACTAATTTGACGACTATAATTCAAATTGAGACATAATTCCTTGTTGAGACTGCCTTTAAAGATCTATGGAGCGGTAATAACATGAAAAAATTAAATGTAAAAAAAAAACCAACTTTTTTTAATTTGAGATTTTTTGAGAAAATCGTCACCCAACACGCCATATAAGGCACAAGATGATAGATGTAGCCTCTAGTAACAAATCAATTACGGCTATTAGGCTTCCTTTGGCTAACTTGGAGCGATTTCTAAGTTGAAATAAATCTCCGCTAACGCGTTAATAGCGCGAGTTCTATCGTGCGTTAATAGTCCAAAATGGCAATATTTGAACTCCCATAACATTGCGAAAAATAATCTTGGGTGAAATATCTTTTCAAACTTGAGTTCAGGACAACATTAGCTTTTGAATGATATAAAAAACTCAAAAATGGCAAGTTGAAAAGTAGAATTTTGTCTGAAGAAAATAACCCACCCCGAGGACAAATATTCCATTACTTTCGTTACGAAAGTGAGAACAATAATGAACGCGCAATCTATTTTGTTCTATCAGAGCGTAAGCGGCCATTCAAGTCCTTCAAGGTCAAAATGAGTCAAGATAATTGCCCTTTTAAACCATAAACACATGCAAAAAAAAATTTTTGATACGTTACATAGCTTGTGCGAGATAAAAAAAAATGTCGGCGTCTTTTTTCGACCATTTTTAAAGGCTTTTTAAACCAAAGAGCTTGTGATTGACGGCAGTAGGAACCATTCAAGGCTTTACCTATTATAAGAGCAGTCTTTTTTTTTTCTGTAGTTTCAAAAATTCAAATCGACACTCCGCTTTCTCTCTTTTTTAAAAATCTCAGCTTACCCCCTCTTTTCAACGCCCACTCTCTTAAATTTTGCAAAATAGCTCCCGGGAGTATACCTGCTTATGGGCTCACAATCTTGGTTTAACTTCCGCAGTTTATATCCAATGTTTTAATTTGCTTAATTCAGATCCAAATGAATCATATCTTATTGCTGGTAAACTGCAAGAGTTCATCTCTGTTGCAATCATTTGAAATCAAAAACTTCACACTGATGCATTAATGATTCCATTGCATCACAATTCTGATGCTTATGTTCTAAAGAAATTATTCGGTCTATTTACCAGAAGTCTGCTCCAGTTGGCCAAAACTTCTTATCATACAATTTCCATGAGAAACTTCTTGTCATACAATTTCATACAATTACATAAGTATAAAAAATTGTAAGAAAACTCTATGATAAGCGTTTTTCCATATATAAAAATTGTATATTAGATATTTTCCCATAAAGCAAAAAATTGATTTTTTGTTTAAAAATTAGTTTTTAAAAACTTTGATTGTGTTTGTAACCGAACACAAGTGACAAAGACCTTGGTTTACTCAAAGCACCAAAGTTTTGACGGTTATGCATTTACAATGCATAGAAAACGACCTGAATTGTCTTCAAGTTGTCGTTCACAAATGAAATACCAAAAGTTAAAAACTTTTTAAACGAAAAAAATTGGAGCAAATTCAAAATTACGTTGAAAAATTTTTGTGTCGCCATCAAAAAAATGCCAGTCATACAATATCCATATATGGTAATTGTATGATAATTTTTTTTTTCAAAAAAACAAAAACCTCGGATTTTTATTATCAGATTGTTTTAATGGAATCAAACAGCCGCAGAATTTAGTTTTCATCTTTTTTCACTCATTTTTCGAAATTGTATGAAAATTATATGACAAGCGTATTCCCACACACTTGATGTATGGAATTGTATGATTGGCATTTTCAGTGTATGGAGGTCAACCCGGGTGATTACAAAATTTCAGCCTGACAAATGTCAAGTTTGCTAAACTTACATGAATCTAACTTTTTTATATTGCTCCAATTTCCGAAAATTGTGACCGAACACTTGTACATGGGTTAGTGCTCTTCTGCAGATAGTTTCGACTTTAAAAGGATTTTCGTCGAAAATTTGTATATCTTCTGAAAGATGTTGCTGTCCTGGGCTCGATTAAACCATTCTGCTTGTGATCATTTTTTGCAAACTTATGGGGTTTTGAAATTTAACTTTTCGGCCAATTTAGGATAAAAAACGTGCAATTTATTTCGTGTTATTTAAACGCAAGCGGAGAATTAACCGTCAAAAAAATCGTTCCAAGTTAATTTGAGGTATGCTTTTTGGTCTACGCCAAGTGTATCGATTTTGTACTTTACATAACATGTGGGGAGGGGATAATTATCAAGAAATAAATTAGTAAAAAATTTCATTCTTTTTGGATGTGAAAACTCTTAACTTATAGAACTTAACATACAGTCGTGATATTCAACTCTTCGTTCTGATACGAGCAGTGTTGTTGCATTTCCGTCTTTTGTTGAGATTTCGGACACTGAAACTTACAGGCAATCAACCAAGTCAACGTTGCGTTATGAGAATCGACCCAAACAAATAATTGCGAGAAGCCATGAAAAGAAAACTAGCTAATATTTAAAACAAGTAGCTTTTTTGCGCATCTTTGAAGATTGAAATCATTCCAGTCGAAACTGTTCTCTTCCAAGGGTTCCATTGTTGAGTTTACCAATTGAGAAACTTCAGGAGCTAATTTTGCTACTTAGTTGAGTTGTGCAAAAAAACTAGTTGTCCGTGCATCAACGCGTAATGAGGAAGAAAAAAAAGATGCCAAATTGCAAACTATTCTATAGATGTTTTAACTGCAATTAATCTTTATAGAACCAAATAATGCAGCTGGTTGTTGATAATTTCATAAAGTATGTGAAAAAAAGAAGCAAATTCCAACACTCTACTTGAAAAATTCAATGCGTAACATATAAAAAACTACCAAAAATATTCTGAAATGACCGGAAAACCAATTATAAAAAAAATTGACAAATTATAATTTTAATTCAAAAAACAAGACTGCTCTTATCAAGGCAAAACTTTGAGACTTTTGAAATCCCTGAAACAATCTAACTTTTTACTTAAAGCTTCTAGCTTCCTAAAATTTAAGTAAATTTTTTCAAATAAAAAACTATACCATTTGTGTGTTATTTTTTAATTTTAGAATGACATGAAAGGAAACTAATTTGAAAGTGTTTTTATTGAAAAACAATAACCAAAAAAGCCGTGAAAATTGTTACTTTTTGTAGCTTCTTTCATCTTTTTTAGACCTAAGTTTTTTTCAATAAACTTTGGAACAGCTTCTGAGCCGATCTTTTTTTGCTATTTAAGCGATAATATTAAACAAATTGTCGCGCGTTAAAAAGGTCAAACTAGCCAAATTGAATCTTTCTTAAAACCCTTTCTTAAAATCTTTATTCTTTAACAAGAATAAATTGACGGTTGATAAAATTCCTTTAGAATATATGAGCATGGGGAATATTTTTTTCAGAATTTCAGAGAAAATCTACCGTAACTACTTGATAAAAATCAAAATATTTCTGAGAAAAAAACAACTAGGCAAAAATCTGAATTTAGTTACACATAGATTCCGATAAAAAAAACAAAATCGAGAGTACAGAGTGAATTAAAACCAAATTTACAAAACAAATTCAAACTTATGAACTTAGAAATCTCTTGACTTGTAGAACAAGCATTTTGTAACATGCAGTTACTATGATAGCTCCTACTCACAATCTGCTTTTCATAGATAAATTGCATATAATTTATCACTCAATTTCTGTCAAAAACAACGCATAGGCACAGTAAACATTTTGTAGTGACTCAGTTTGAAAATTCCAGCAAAGCTTATCTACAATCTAATTTAAAATCATAAAACTCAATTCAAACTAACTTTATATTAAATAAAATGCACGTGCTACTCTAGAAAAATCTTATCAAACTGCTGCACATTACCAAATAAATACAAAACATACACAAAACAAACAGAACTAGTAAATCCAGCACGCAAAAACTAGTGGTTTCTTATATTTTGCAACCTTTTAATACCGATCAATCATCAAACAGGTATGCTTTTGCAACTTTCAACTCATCGAAGAAAAAACCCGTCGAAATCAATTTTATAATTTCAGTGTGTTTCTCTGATAAATGAAAAAAATCGTGAGAAGATATCAACCCTTCAAGGGTTCCTCTCTGTTTCTTCAAAGAAAACTGTGTGTTTTCTTTGGGAAACTGTATGATTACCCTCGTTATTGTTTGGGGCATTCCTGACCATGTCCTTTGGAATAAAGTTTTCTCTGCCTTGTTGCACTCGCTATAGAGTATCAGAAATATCATTGTTCTCAAGTCAAAAAATTGTTAACCAAAACAAATCAAGTATAGGTTTTTTGCATATGTGAAATGAACCTCGTCAAAACCTTTATCTTCCAGGCGTTCCCTTGTTTAATTCATCAATTATAAGTTTTCAGCAATCAAGTTACACTATTTAGTTCAGGTGTATAATAAAAAATACTTTCACTTTTTCGAAGAAAATACACGCCAATTCAACAATTCAATACTTATTCAACGCGCAAAAACTTTTTCTATAATCACAATGAATGTTTCATTGATGCTTATTTAATTCAGTGAACCTAACACTCAGCTTGAGTCTCTGAGCCTTCGGGCTTCCCTTAAACGATTCAACGGCTTAGAAGGAGCTTTGAGGTCCGCAAACTTGAGTTAAGTGTACACTTTTGATATAAAACTAAAAGCTTTTGTGTCAATTTGTTTTCGGAACACAATCAAAAAAAAATTTGAATTTCATTTTACAAAAAAAAAAATGCTTATACAGTAAAGTTTAAGTAGCTACTTCGAAACTACCTACAAATCACTTATTTGAAATAGCTTATTTCAACTGATTTTGAGTCCGATTCAATTGCTGCTTACGCAAAAACATATCGAAAGATAACGCGCGTTAGTTATGTAAGACTTACTAATGTGATTTTATCTCATTTTTGCTAAATTAAAAAAAAAATACAACAGATACAAATCTTTTAGAAATTATGAGCATGGGAATCGCTTTTATCAGATTTGGACAAAAAATCTTTCGAGATTACTTGTTACAAAGTCAAAAAATGTGTCAACAAAAAAAACAAATCTAATTGAAATATCAAGCTAATTGTAAAAATATTTAGAAAAATTTGAATCTGAGGAATACAAAGTAAGTATGTCATAATGAAAAAATAAAAAAGCAAATTTTTAACTTTTAAATGAATTTAGAAATCATCAAAGCTGAAGAACAAAATTTTATTGGTTTTCTAGCTCCTACGCTCAATCTGATTTTTAAAATTAACTTGCAATAAAAGTATCTGACTTTTTCTGTGACCCATAGCGCTATTAAAAATTTTGGGAAAACTCTTTTGAATCTGATCAAAATCAGAGGGTTTAATAGAAAAATTAAATTTACTTGCAACAAGTCCTAACAACATCTTCTGAGCGATTCAGTTTTGAAACTCCAGCAACGGTTATCTACATTCTAACATAAATTCAATAAAAAAAACCATAACAAACTAACTGAATATTAAATGCATCATGTGCTACTCTAGAAAACACTTCTCAACCGCTGCAGAAATATTGTCAAAAAACTATAAAAATTACAGAACTAGCAAAACTAACACACAAAAACAAGTAATAATCCCAAAACAGGTAGGTTTTTTGCAATTTTCAGCTCATCAAAAATTAACCCATCAAAACCATTTTACAATTTCAGTGTGTTTTTTCTCATGAATGAAAACAATTCGTGAGGAAACATCAACTCGTCGAGGGATTCCTTCTGCTTTTTTGAGAAAAAGCAGTTTGATCATGAACTATGAAATTTTTATAAGAGGTGGCTCTAATAATAACAACTTTCATAAACAATTTTCATGCTTATGCAACTTCAATGTATTAATGGATACTCAAAAAAGCCGCATTTGCAACCCATTTTGCGCTGAATCAGTGTTTCAGGTATTGTTGACCATGTCCCGCGAGTTTAAAACTTATCAGCATTGCTACTTCTGCTACGGTGCACCAAAAATCTCATCATTTGCTGACAAACTACTGTTAAAAAACACATAAAACATGAGTTTTTTGCATCCTTGAAATCAAACCTGTTAAAAACTATTTTCTTCCACGATTTGCAGTGTTTAGTTTACCAATAATGAGTTTTCAGCAATCCACTTGCACTTCTCAGCTGAGGTGTAGAAAATTACTATCACCTTTTCAATAGAAATACACGACAGCTACTAACTATTCAATAGATATTTGAACTGCAAAATGATTTTTCTAGAATTCGTGCCCGATGTAATGATGCTTGTATGATTAGGTATGAGAAACTGAAGAAAACCCTGCTTGAGGCTCTGAGAAGTTTTCAATTTTCGTAAATTAAAGTTATGTTTTTGATTTAAACACTAAAAGTGTCAATTTGTTTTTGGAACAATAAGATTTCATAAAAATTGGTTTTGAATACATTTTACAAAAACCGGCTATGCAAAAAAAACTAAAATACCTACTGGGTAGCTAGTTACATATCAAATGTTTAAATTGGCTTGCTTCAACTGATTTCGGAAAAATTTTTGAGCCGACCTTATTTGCTTTTTTTTGCAAAAACATTACAAAAGATATAGCGCTTTATTAATCCCAATTTAGTCGAACTGAAATTTTCTCAAACTCAACTAACTTTGAAAAAATTGACAACAGATCAAATTAATATAAAACAATTAGAGGGGAATCGCTTTTTCAGAATTCCACAAAAACCCGACGAAAAATTTCTAAAAAAATCAAACTATTTCAAATAAAAGGGCGCAAAAAAAAAACAATTTATTTACACAATGAGCAAAAAAGAGAAAAATTTAGAACACCGAGTTAAAAAAAACTCAAAATAAAAAATCAAAAACTCTTTTTTTAAACATCTACATTAATTCAGAAATCACGTGACCAGTAGAAAAAGTATATTGTAACAACCAGTTGCTATGCTAGTTCTTTCTACAATCTGCTTTTCAACAATATCTGTCATCAACGAAGATTTTAAACGTTTTTTGTACAGAAACTTCTAGAATTCGATCAAAAACAGAAAGCATATTACAAAAACTACTTTTTATTTGCGTCATTGCTTACCAACTATTTCTGAGCGAATCAGTCTTAGAGTTTCAGCAACGCTTATCTTCAGTCTATATAAAAAATTTTAAAACAATCAATCAAAACTAGTTTTATAACTACACGAGCTACTCTAGAAAGCACTTCTCAAATCCCCGCAGTAATAAAGTCAAAAAACTACAAAACATACATAACCAGCAAATCCAACAAACGAAAACTAGCAGTACCCTACGTTTAACAACCTTCTCATATTGACCATTCTGCACACAGGTAGGTTTTCAAAACTAAACGCACATCGAAAATCAAACCCAATGATTCAATTTTTAGAATGAAAAAATTTTTGAGTAGATATCACCCGTCAATGTATTCCCTCTGGTTCTCTACATGAATTTAATGAGCAGATTGTAAGATTGTATAGAGGTTGCTTTGAAAATTTCTAGTCATGTTAACCCTTGTGCGATTTCAATGTTTTATTGATTAATCAAAACCAAATATTTGCAACCCAACTGAAAGAATGTTGAAGGCATTCCTGACCACGTCTCACGAAATTGATTTTTTTTGCATTGTTCAACTCGTTATAGAGCACAAAAACGTCTCAATGGTGTCAAGTAAAAAATTAAAAGAAACAACCAAAAACGTGATTTTTTCATCTCTAAAATCTATTTTCAAGCCCTTCATTGTTTAGTTTACAAATTATGAGTTTTCAGCAAACGATTTGTACTATTTAGTTGATATCTATAAAAAAACTAGATAAAGGCATATGAGTATTGCAGTTGAAGAAAAATAGCCAAAATACATTTTTGATGAAAGTAAACACCAATTACAAAATTCAATACATACTTAAACTGCATAATGATTTTTCAAGAACAACAAAACTTATATTAGATTATATTGAAGCTTATATGATTAGTATGAGAGAATAAAGAGAGAACTTAACACCTGCTTGAGGCTCTGAAACTTCAGGTTTCCGCGAAACAAGTCAACGTCGTAGAAGAAGCTTTCAATTTCCGCAATTTTGAGTTATATATAATTTTTGATTTATTAGTTTCTTATGTCAACTTGGTTTTAGAACAAAACAAAAAAGAAGTGTTTTGATTGTGATTTAAAAAAATCAGGCCACACAAAAAGTTAAAATGGCTACTTCGTAGCTACTTGCATATCAATTTTTTAAATGGCAATTTTAAACTGATTTCGTCAAGACTTCTGAGCCCGACTAAGTTGCTGCGTACGCGATAACAAAACTAGATTTGTCTCGCGTTAACTTTCTCAATTAAATCAAACCTAAAATTTTCCAAATCCCAGCAAATTAAAACAAAATGACAACAGATAAAATTGATTAAGAAAAAATAATCATGGGTAAAAAGTTTTTCAGATTTTCACAAAAAGTCCATCAAAATTAAATAACAAGAACAAAAATAAATCAAACTTGAAATTTTCCAAATCCCAGTAAATTAAAACAAATTGACAACAGATAAAATTAATTAAGAAAAAATGAGCATGGGTAAAAAAATTTTCAGATTTTCACAAAATGTCCATCAAAATTAAATAACAAGAACAAAAAATAATCTGAAACAAAAACTAAAATCGAGCAAAATTTTCAATTTAATTATACAAATTACGAATAGTAAAGAAAAAAAAAGACTACAGAGTAATGAGATCAAAATAAAAAAATTAAGTTAATCTATTTTTCAAACTCTTAATGGACTTGAAAATCAGCTGACTTGTAGAAAAAGTATTTGTAACAACCAGTTGCTATGCGACCTTCTACGCACAATCCGTTTTAGATAATGAAAGTGAATATAAAAGTAAGACCAAAGAAGCATACAAAACGTTTTTTGTGCATAGCTCACTAGAATCTGATCAACAGACAGAGGGCAAAACAGAAAAAGAAACGTTTGCTTGCATCATTGCTTAACAACTTGTTTTGAGCGATTCAGTTTTAAAACTCCAGCAAAGCACAACTGCATTCCATAAAAATCAAAAATCATTTAAAACCTATTACACGTTTTTTGTACATAACTGTCTAGAGCCGATTACAGGCAGAAGGCAAATTTAAAAAAATAATAATTATTTTCCTTGCGTCATTGCTTCACAACTTGTTTTGAGCGAATCGGTTTTTATAATCCAGCAACGTCTATCTGCAGTCTATAGAAAACCAAAAAACCATTGAAAGCGTATTACACGTTTTTGTACAAAACTCTCTAGAAAATGATCACAGGCACAAGGCAAATTAGAAATAATAATTTTACTTGCGTTACTGCCTAACAACTTAATTTGAGCGATTCAGTTTTGAAAATTCAGCAACGCAAATCTGCAGCCTATAGAAAACTAAAAACCATTGAAAGCGTATTTCACGTTTTTGTACAAAACTCTCTAGAATATGATCACAGGCACAAGGCAAATTAGAAATAATAATTTTACTTGCGTTACTGCCTAACAACTTAATTTGAGCGATTCAGTTTTGAAAATTCAGCAACGCAAATCTGCAGCCTATAGAGAACCAAAAACCATTGAAAGCGTATTCCACGTTTTTGTACAAAACTCTCTAGAATTCGATCACAGGCAGAAGGCAAGTAAGAAAAAAAAATAATTTTACTTGCGTCATTGCTTAACAACTTGTTTTGAAAGATTCAATTTTTAAAACCCAGCAACGTTTATCTACAGTCTGTATAAAATCAAAAATCATTCAAAGCGTATTTCAAGTTCTTTGTACATTTTGCTACCTTCTAATAACAAGCATCTTCAAAACAAGTAGTTTTTTCCTAATTTCAGCTACTAAAAATTATCCCAATCGGAATCAATCTGTAAATTTCAATGTGTTTTGTCTCATGCAGAAAAAGTTGTGAAGGATGATTATCTTAGAAGAAGCTTTCGGTTTCCGAAAACTTAAGTTACAATCAATTTTGAAAGTGTTTTTAGTTTAAAAAAATGAGTACACAAAAAATTGATTCAACCTTTTTTGTAGCTACTCACAAAAAAAATATTTAAAATAGCTTGATTCAACTGGTTTTGGAATAGTTTCTGAGCCTGATTTGTTTGCTATCTTACGCGATAAAATAACGAAAAAAATCACGCGTTAATTTTTCAAACTAGCCAACCTGAAAGTTTTGCGAAACCTGCTCAATTAAAATCGTATGCATTTTTATATTACTTAATTTTGTCAAACAAGAAATTTTTGACCGTCAAACAAGAAATTTTAGACCGATAAACTTTAGTAGCAGATAATATAAGTGATATTCAAAAAACGGAAAATGAACCGACGGAACTGGGCCGAAAAACATGTATCCGCGATGCACTATGATATGAAAATGATGAGTGAACTAACGCGTGCAGGTAAAAAAATAACTTGGTTTTTTCCAACAAGCAAAACGGAAAACCTGGACCTGGCGTTGAATTCACAATCGACGTTTGTTAACCATATAAGCATGTGTTTAGGGTTCCCCTTGCAATATCCTGAGTTTCCCGTAAAGTGTTTAAAATATCTTGACTCTGAATACACAATAGAACAAAACATTTACCATTCAGGAAATTTACACAAAATTTTAAACAGAAATTTGGTCCCTGATTGCTTGTTGAGCATCGTAGGTCCTTTCTGCCCACTGTTTGCAATATTTTTCCCAATTGTGAACAAAAAAGTCTCCAAAAAGTTCCAGCAATCCATTTTATATTTTTTTGGTATTAAATTTTTCATAATCAAGTAGTTCAATTTTTGCTGTCCAAAATTTTTCCTTCTACGTTTTTCAAAAACGGCAAAACTAGTTCGCTCGGTGCCTGAAGACAAGTTTTTGCTCTGATCCTCGTTTTAAATAAATTACCTGAAACTGCACGAGACTCTGATTTAATTAAGAAACAAACAAAAAATACGTTTTCTTTTTAACAACTTGATATTTGAGTCTTTCCATAGGTTTGTACATCTAAATGAACTTCTTGCACATACCATTTACTTTTTTCATATTTTAACGTTAGAATGTTTCTAAAATTTTGTAAAAAAATTTATCATTTTCTCATTTTTGGGTTTATAGTGGAAATAAACTACCTGCCATTGAGCGGCTTTTATAATTTAAAAAAGTTAACACTTAATCGCATCCACAATTATTTGAAAATCATCTTGGTTAGAAATTCAGACAAACACCAATCGACTAACACCCACCCATATTTTCATATTATCAAAAAAAAACTTACAACATTTTTTAGCGCTTGGAAGGGAGGGAATTTGTCAATTACAGAACAGTGAAGAATGGATCTTTCAGACGACGATGAAGACAAAAAAAGGGATCCGTTGAAACATATGAATTTCCAAGAAAAACTGAACAATGTTTTGGGCAAACTGAAAATTAACGCGAGCGCAAAACATTTGATTAATGCCACGTTTTACTCGTGGGAAAGTTTTGATAATTGTCGCGCTAAGATTCCGGAATCAAGTAAAGAAGAACTTCGGGATTTTTTTGAAGAGTTCAAGATAAAACGTGCAGCCTTGGTAGTAAAGTTGAGTGAAATCGGCATCGAAGCAGAAAAACTCGAGGAATCAGATTTCATTTACCACTGGTTTCAAGGTACAGAAAGTTTGGAACATTTTCTGAGCTCCGAAGAAACACAAGAATGGTTCACGGAAAGTGAGATTACGAATATTCGTCTCAATGTATTAGACTGGAATGACGAGAAGGCAACGAGTGAAACTTCGGTTCAGTTGACTGAAATTGATTCGGAGAAGCGGCTGAAAAGTGAAGTTTTAGAAGAACTGAAGCCAGGCTTTTCTCAAATGCAGTCTAGACCTTCCAGTTCGTTTCAACAAGCTTCCAGATTAAACATATCAATTGCAAGCTCTCAAAATCAACAGAACGATCTCAACAAGGTGTCATCTGTACACTCTGATCAACCAACCACAGTATATTCTTCAAATCAAAAGCCTGAAAAAGAAGAAAAGTTGATTCCAACAACGAGAAACACCGAGAGTGGCAATGCGGAAAACGAAGGACGAAGCTGGGTCGAGTCGAAAAATTCTATTTCAGTGGGCAATGACTTCGAGAAAACAGAACTCAATCAAAAAAAGACAACAAACCGCCAGGAACCTACAATAAATGACAGGGCAGAACGTGAGAGCAAAAAGTATGAACTGAGTACAGTCAGCCGGACTAATGAAGACCACAAAAATCTGACAATTACGACTGAACAAACATATCGGCACGTAGAAGACGATAAAAAGGAGATCCAAACAGAAGCTTCTACTTCTGAAGCACATACGTCCAAATCTTCGGCCACAATGAGTTCAGATCAGTCTGATGCAAAAACTTCAACATCTTCTGAAGAAAGCAATGCGGCAAAGGATGAAACAAGCTCTTTCGAAACGCAACCTGAAGCTTTTCGTCCTGACGGTCGTAATTTTGAACAAACGCAACTCAAATCACTTGCATCCAAATCTTCGGCCACAACGAGTTCAGATCAGTCTGATGCAAAAACTTCAACATCTTCTGAGGAAAGCAATGCGGGAAATGATGGTGCAAGCTCTCTCGAAACGCAACCTGAAGCTTTTCGTCCTGACGGTCGTAATTTCGAACAAACGCAACTCAAATCACTTGCATCCAAATCTTCGGCCACAACGAGTTCAGATCAGTCTCATGCAAAAACTTCAACATCTTCTGAAGAAAGCAATGCGGCAAAGGATGAAACAAGCTCTCTCGAAACGCAACCAGAAGCTTTTCGTCCTGACTGTCGTAATTTCGAACGAACGCAACTCAAATCACTTGCATCCAAATCTTCGGCCACAACGAGTTCATACAAGTCTGATGCAAAAACTTCAACATCTTCTGAGGAAAGCAATGCGGGAAATGATGGCGCAGGCTCTCTCGAAACCCAACCTGAAGCTTCTCGTCCCGACGGTCGTATTTGCGAACAAACGGAACTCAAATCACTTGCGTCGGAATCTCCGGCCGCAATGAGTTCAGATCAGTCTGATGCAAAAACTTCAAGATCTACTGAGGCAAGCAAGGCGGCAAATGATGGTGCAAGCTCTCTCGAAACCCAACCTGAAGCTTCTCGTCCCGACGGTCGTAATTTCGAACAAACCGAACTCAAATCACTTGCGTCCAAATCTCCGGCTACAATGAGTTCAGATCAGTCTGATGCAAAAACTTCAACATCTTCTGGGGCAAGCAAGGCGGCAAATGATGGCGCAAGCTCTCTCGATACCCAACCTGAAGCTTCTCGCCCCGACGGTCGTATTTTCGAACAAACGGAACTCAAATCACTTGCGTCGAAATCTCCGGCCGCAATGAGTTCAGATCAGTCTGATGCAAAAACTTCAAGATCTACTGAGGCAAGCAAGGCGGCAAATAATGGCGCAGGCTCTCTCGAAACCCAACCTGAAGCTTCTCATCCCGACGGTCATAATTTCGAACAAACGGAACTCAAATCACTTGCGTCCAAATCTCCGGCCGCAATGAGTTCAGACCAGTCTGATGCAAAAACTTCAACATTTTCTGAGGCAAGCAAGGCGGCAAATGATGGTGCAAGCTCTCTCGAAACCCAACCTGAAGCTTCTCGTCCCGACGGTCGTAATTTCGAACAAACGGAGCTCAAATCACTTGCGTCCAAATCTCCGGCTACAATGAGTTCAGATCAGTCTGATGCAAAAACTTCCACATCTTCTGAGGCAAGCAAGGCGGCAATTGATGGCACAAGCTCTCTCGAAACCCAACCTGAAGCTTCTCGTCCTGACGGTCGTAGTTTCGAACAAACGGAACTCAAATCACTTGCGTCCAAATCTTCGGCCACAACGAGTTCAGATCAGTCTGATGCAAAAACTTCAACATCTTCTGAGGCAAGCAAGGCGGCAAATGATGGCGCAAGCTCTCTCGAAACCCAACCTGAAGCTTCTCGTCCCGACGGTCATAATTTCGAACAAACGGAACTCAAATCACTTGCTTCAAAATCTCCGGCCGCAATGAGTTCAGACCAGTCTGATGCAAAAACTTCAACATCTTCTGAGGCAAGCAAGGCGGCAAATGATGGCGCAAGCTCTCTCGAAACCCAACTTGAAGCTTCTCGTCCCGACTGTCGTAATTTCAAACAAATGGAACTCAAATCACTTGCGTCCAAATCTCCGGCCACAATGAGTTCAGATCAGTCTGATGCAAAAACTTCAACATCTTCTGAGGCAAGCAAGGCGGCAAATGATGGCGCAAGCTCTTTCGAAACCCAACCTGAAGCTTCTCGTCCCGACGGTCGTAATTTCGAACAAACGGAACTCAAATCACATACGTCTAAATCTTCGGCCACAATGAGTTCAGATCAGTCTGATGCAAAAACTTCAACCTCTTCTGAGAAAAGCAAGGTGGCAAATGATGGCGCAAGCTCTCTCGAAACCCAACCTGAAGCTTCTCGTGCTGACGGTCGTAGTTTCGAACAAACGGAACTCAAATCACTTGCGTCTAAATCTTCGGCCACAACGAGTTCAGATCAGTCTGATGCAAAAACTTCAACATCTTCTGAGGCAAGCAAGGCGGCAAATGATGGCGCAAGCTCTCTCGAAACCCAACCTGAAGCTTCTCGTCCCGACGGTCATAATTTCGAACAAACGGAACTCAAATCACTTGCTTCAAAATCTCCGGCCGCAATGAGTTCAGACCAGTCTGATGCAAAAACTTCAACATCTTCTGAGGCAAGCAAGGCGGCAAATGATGGCGCAAGCTCTCTCGAAACCCAACCTGAAGCTTCTCGTCCCGACTGTCGTAATTTCAAACAAATGGAACTCAAATCACTTGCGTCCAAATCTCCGGCCACAATGAGTTCAGATCAGTCTGATGCAAAAACTTCAACATCTTCTGAGGCAAGCAAGGCGGCAAATGATGGCGCAAGCTCTTTCGAAACCCAACCTGAAGCTTCTCGTCCCGACGGTCGTAATTTCGAACAAACGGAACTCAAATCACATACGTCTAAATCTTCGGCCACAATGAGTTCAGATCAGTCTGATGCAAAAACTTCAACCTCTTCTGAGAAAAGCAAGGTGGCAAATGATGGCGCAAGCTCTCTCGAAACCCAACCTGAAGCTTCTCGTGCTGACGGTCGTAGTTTCGAACAAACGGAACTCAAATCACTTGCGTCCAAATCTCCGGCCGCAATGAGTTCATACAAGTCTGATGCAAAAACTTCAACATCTTCTGAGGCAAGCAAGGCGGCAAATGATGGCGCAAGCTCTCTCGAAACCCAACCTGAAGCTTCTCGTCCCGAGGGTCGTAATTTCGAACAAACGGAACTCAAATCACCTGCTTCCAAATCTCCGGCCACAATGAGTTCAGATCAGTCTGATGCAAAAACTTCAACATCTTCTGAGGCAAGCAAGGCGGCAAATGATGGCGCAAGCTCTCTCGAAACCCAATCTGAAGCTTCTCGTCCCGACGGTCGTAATTTCGAACAAACGGAACTCAAATCACATACGTCTAAATCTTCGGCCACATTGAGTTCAGATCAGTCTGATGCAAAAACTTCAACATCTTCTGAGAAAAGCAAGGTGGCAAATGATGGCGCAAGCTCTCTCGAAACCCAACCTGAAGCTTCTCGTCCTGACGGTCGTAGTTTCGAACAAACGGAACTCAAATCACTTGCGTCCAAATCTTCGGCCACAACGAGTTCAGATCAGTCTGATGCAAAAACTTCAACATCTTCTGATATTGACAACCAAAATCGCGTGACAGGTGTATGGAAACAGACTAACGGAAGTGAAGTAAAAATTGTCCCACTGATTGTATGCTCAGAGGTAATACAAGATGGCTCAAAAGTTTACAAATTTAATATCGACAATACAGGATTTCAATATTTAAAACAATTGGGTCATCTCGGGTATGAAGTATCGTCAAAAACTGGCAAGGATGAAGACATCGACTTAGATCAGCTAAATAAAACATCTCTGAGACTGGTCGGGATAATCGGGCCGTTCCAGGCAGTAATTAACATCTTTGAAACGCGATTTAATTCAGAAACTGTAGAAAAAATCAAGCTCATCAATTGTTTTGAACAATCGGGATTGTTTTTAGTCAAAATTGAAAATGAAGAGAACTTATTCGTGGTGTATTATTCAAAAAACGACGAAGATTTTGGACCCGTCAAAAAAGAGTCAAAAATTGTTCATTTCTTGCGATACTTGAGTGAACTCACAAATCAAGTTATTCTCTGCCCAATTGAAACAAACGTTGATATTTTCCCAAAAAAATCAAGTCTAGTTGACACCAAAATAAAACGCATGCGAAAGTTCACTAGTCATGAGACTTCACAGGAAGCCGCGGCTTACCAACTCACCGAATTGGGACACTTTCCATGCCCAGAGCCAGATACAACGGATGTTTTTACTTCAAATAGCGCATTTTGTATCATTTCTCAACTAGTGAAACCACAAGCGTCAAGAAAAGAAGAAAAAAGTGAAACAAAAAACATAAGTCAGATGAAAGATTTTTTGAAGCTCAAGCAGATTGATCAAAAAACTGATATCGACGCACAATTCAAAATTGATTTCATTAAAATGTTTCATCCTCAGACCTGGAAACAAATTCAGCAATCAATTGATAAAGATTTAGACGATGATAAGTCTCTTTCCAATGAATGCACTAGGAAATTAATGTTACAGGCTATTGCTTTGTATTTCATTAGAGATGAGTTTTCTCTAGAGTATAAATTGACTGAGGGTTTCTATTCTGACAAACAAAATGGTCATTATGACCTTTGGGAAATGCATTCCAGTGACGAAAAACTTGTAGGCGCAATTGAAAAAACGCAAATGGTTGAGCTCAAATCAAAAATTAGTAATTCAACAAACCCGACAAAACATTCGATCAAAAAACAACTACTCATTTGTGCTCTGGAAGCTCAACAAAACAAATTACTGCAATTTTTTCGTCGGAATCCTAACCTTAGTGAACTGAGCTGGGAAAATTTACGAAAAGAAGCACGAAATGACGTTTTTGAATCAGATGATGAAGCGATTGATCTGCTCATCGCAGAAGAGGCAGAAAAAGCATCAAAGAGTGCAAATAGCAGTTGGATGAAAGAGAAACTGCCCAAATTTGTTGAATATTTTTCCAAAAAGATTGAGAAACTTAGTTCAGCCAAGCAGACAAAACAGATCTTTGTGGCGTACCTCAAAGAGGTTCACTTAAAAAGGGTTGAAAAGCTTAGAAAGAAGTTGACAATTGATTACACTAACAGCTCATTCAGTAATATGATAGAAAGAAAAAAAGAATCGTCTGAAAAAATAACTCGTATAATTTCCACAGAGAACAAAGCAGGAGAATATGAAATTTTTTCTGAAGAAAACGTTTTGGTGCCGCCCCAAAAAGAAATCAAAATTTCGTTTCCAGGACTTGATAGCGCCGCCGAGGCGGGCATTTTAGAAGGAAATGGGACTGTTTTGCAAAATATTCAATTCAACGAAATTGATACACTAGTGCTTGAAGAGAACGAATCACTTGTTTCAGCTCACCCAACGCAAACAAAATCAGTTGTGATTTGTTTGAACAAACACCAACCACTTGAAGAAACTTTGGAACAAAAAACGCAATATCTTGCAAAAATTATCGTTGTTCCAGAAGCAATAGAAATTACTAGTATTCGGCATAATATCTCAACAAATAGTTTCGACTGCCATCAACGAAAACTAGCATTATCTTGTCAAGATAACCCAAACATCATCTACTTGATCACATTTGAGCCAAGCTTTCGCATAAAAAGTCAAACAAGTCAAATGGACTTGGAAAAACTTATCGGAAATGTAAGTTCCATTCAACTTTCTTTTCAGTATCAGAGTAGTTTTCTCTGGGTGTTCTGTCGACAAGATCTTGGACAATTCTTGTACAAATTCAACTACCATACTACTGAGTTGGTATTAAGTGTCAAGCTTAATGAAACACCGGCAAATATATCTTGCACGCCCTGTGGCCTCGCTATGTTTCACTTTTTGCAATCAAATAAAACAGCACAATTGACAATGAGCGCGACTGGAACTCCATTTCAAGACCCATTTGTCTATCCTCGACCATTAGAAAACATACAAATCACATCGATTAGCGATCAAAATGTAATAGTACAAAAGCACGAGCGCAAACTATTTTTCTCAACTATTGAAATCACCGGGACAAAACAAACGACGTTTAAACCTGCTCAGAATCAAACTGCCGATTCATCAAACCAAACCTTTGAATGGCATTGGATCCGCAGCATATACATGATGTTTAATAAGTTTCCGTGCACTGATCTCATGGACAGAAATCAAAACCTGACTCGCTTATGGATTGTGCTGTCATCAGATGTATCATCGCTGTTTTTGGAAAACATTGAATCTGAAATTGAGCGTGTTCAGTCTGAGCTGAAAAAAACTAAAAAACCTCTCGATTTAATGCGTATACAAGTCGAGCAGATGCAAGAGGTGACTCCATTTCTATCCGACTTCTTGCAGCAAAAGCCTCTCATAAAAAAACTTCTTGGCTCACTCATTATAAAATTGATAACATTCATTCCCAAGCAGATTGCACGCAGTCAATCAAATGAGCTTGTCTTGATGAATGACGGAGATCCACTTAGTTTGAAAACGGTTCAAAACGCAATAGAACTTGCCGCCCTAATAAATTTTGGATTTTACGAAAAAGTTTTTAAATTATGGACAGGCGATGTCAAAGTAATTTCTTCAATGGGAAAACAGAGCACCGGAAAGAGTTTCACTTTGAACCACTTGACTGGACTATCATTTAATATATCTGGAGCAAGATGTACTGACGGTTGTTGGATGTCTGTAAAATTGACCGATAAGTGTTTATACGTTATTCTAGACTTCGAAGGTTTAGGTAGCTTTGAAAGAACCGACCAAGATGACATGCTTTTGTCATTGCTAAACAGTGCTATCTCTAGCATAACGCTTTTCAAGTGCGAAAAAAGACTAGAGCGTGACGTGGAAAAACTATTTCAGAACATGAACCTAGGCTGCAACCAACTCAAAGGCACTGAACATTTGTTTAGAGGGTTTTTCATGATAGTTATAAATGATGTCGATGATAGCGATATTGATGAAACAACTCGCGAGTTTGAGAAAAAGATGAAACTTATCCTCAACAGGAGTCAAATGAACTTCTTATCGACCCTGTACGGAAGTGGATATATTATTTTTCCTTTTCCAATGTTCAGCACCAAGTCATACTACGACGCGACAGAAGAACTACATTCGACCGTGTGCAGCTCAGTTTCACCGCTATTCAAAAATGGAGAAGCATTCATGGGCTCTTTGAAATTAATAATGGCCAAGTTAACAATAGGCGATTTCACGCCCCTTGGACGACAACAAATTGACGAAAGACTCAGTTATCTCCAATCTAAATTCCAATTTGCCGTAATTTTTGGACAAATTTGCAGAAAAGAGCCAAAAACACCAGATTATCGACTCAAAAAGATCGGTGACCAGAAGTTTGAAATACAGACTGAAAAAATGATCGATTTGCCTGCAATTGGTCCAATAATGATCGAAGACCTTGAAATGACTTTCTCAGAACAATTTACAGCAGCTACAGTAAGACGCTTCATTAAAATTCTGTCGCTATCACATGATAGCATCAAAGTTTGGCGAATTAGTTTAGAGAAGTTTACAGTTGAGTGCATAAGCTTCCGATTTGCACGCGTTAAAAGATGGTTGAATGAAAACCTTAAGCCGTGGGAAAACAGTGAAAATCCTGAAATAAAAGATCTAATACAAAGTATGTTCGAAAATTGGGAAAGCTGGCACTTCAAATATCAGCAAAAATATCGCTTTTGTGACGAAAAATGCGCTAAATGTTTTTTAAAGTGCACCCATATCGTTGATCATGACGCTAATCTTGAGCACGAATGCTCATCAGATCATAAATGCGAAGAAACTTGCGCTCATTGCCAAACACAATCTAGTAAAGAATGCGGACTGAAATTTGGTCACGAAGGTCAGCACAATTGTATGCAAATTAGGCACGTTTGCAATGAACCGTGCAAATACAACAGTCTCAACGGATGTGAAGGAAAATGTCAAAAAGAAGTTGATCACATTGACTTTCATCAGTGCAGTCAGAAAAGTCACAAGTGTAAACATTTGTGCAGCCTTGAAACTTGTTCTGGTAACTGCATCGTTGAAGCAGATATCCCTCATTCTGTGCATAAGTGTAGTAGAAATAACTGTGACAGTGCTTGCAGTGTCGACGGATGTCCCAACAAATGTGAATCTGAAGATCATTTCCATGGCAACAGTATGGGCTCTCGATTCAGAGCCGAGCAGCAGCTGCTTGATATAAATTTACTTTATGCAGGCCACTTCTGTGGTAAAGAACACGCATGCCATCAAAACTGCCAGAAAAAAGGCTTCTGTCATAAAGTAGTAGAAAGAGCTGAAGAAGAAAAAACTTATCAGGGACAAAGGTCTTTTTTCAACTACAACTTAAAATTCAAAGAGTTCGGCAAAAAAATGCAATGTCGGATAAAAATCCCCCCGTTTGAAAAACACCACCAAGGAGATCATGTATGCTCCTCAATTTTCCACACTTGTACAGTACAATGTCCCACGTGTGATAATTATTGCAACAAGCGTGTCGAACATCAAATGAATGAAAATGATTTTCTACATGATACGCGCCACGGGAACATGGTGACAAGACACTTTCTGGCAAATCACGGAGAGTTTGAAATCGGAGCTCACAAATATGCCGTTGGAGAATCTTCAGTCGCTGAAATGTGTCATATTTTCTGTAACGAGTTAGGTAGAGGGCACGTACATGTAGTAAACTGCAAAACAGACAAGAATTCCCCGTGTCAAGAAATAAAAGGAGAAAAAAGACACCAAACAACCAAGTACTGGCCCGACATATCTACAGACAAAGATGAAATGACACATAAAGCTTACTGGTCGTCCATCAATTTCACAGATCCATGCAGCGCCGAGGCTCAAGTAGGTTTTGGCAAATGTCCTGCTTTTTGCAGCTCTCAAGATCATGATGAAGGATCAGAAAGGTCTTACTGTAACCTGGCTTTCATGCATGAACCAGCAAAAAATTTGACAGGTTGTGGTGTAACGGTCGGATTTATCAAAAAAGGACATATTTTCACATGTACTCATGCTGTCAAGCGATATCATTTTACACTTTATCTGAGTAACTCCGATTCCATTCAAGGAAGAGGAGGAAAGAAATTGATCAAATATGTAACCAAATTTGCGAACAGACGTCTTGAGCTTGCAAATGAAGATCAAATTTCTGTCGTTCTTTTTTGCAAGCATACCACTTATGTAATTGCAAATCATATTGAAGTTGCGGATTACGATGCATCAAAAGTTTGGCAGATCAACGAGCAAACTGATGAAGGCACCGAGTTTGAAAAAGCAATGAGGATCGTTCGGAAGCAATTTAAAAAAGGCTACAAGAACCCAGACGTTTTCACAAGTGATGGCTTGTCGGAAGAACATTACAAACAAATGATAAGTCTTTATTCTGAAGTAAGGGGCACATATTTTTCAGGAATGAAACGTTCCAAAATAGAAGAAGATTACAAAGTGACGTCAGCAAGGTATCCCCCTTCAGTAGGTGTCAGTGTGTGAACCAAGCAATAGACGGCTGAAACTAGAATTTTACTGATTCAAAAATTTACTTAAGATGATTTTAACTTAAACTATTGAACAAAATATTACCCAGTAAAATTTCAAATAACAAACTTTCAAACTAATTTCAAACTAATTTGAATTTTCAACTCGATTCGAAAAAAATTTGGGCACGATACGAGTACCTCAATTATTTTCAAATCTCGTGTAAAGCGCTACAGCTAATAATAATCTGAGAAACGTTTGGTATTTGCAAAATGCCATTTTATCAAAAACACAGAAAGATTCCACTATTTTGTTGCTCTTTTTCGACTAAATATTTACTGCTACTGTATCTTTTTTTAATCTTTCGCAATTATCTACCTATCTATTTTGTGCTATGAAAATGAAGATAGACACAGTTGGAAGTGGTTGGTTTTATTGAAATAAAAAGCCGAACGACACCAATCGACACTTGAACTCATTAACCAAGAAGACGATTTATAGTATTGTCTGCATGGCATCTCCTAGCAATTTGTGGGAGCGTGTTACATTTCAAAGAACTCCTTAGATCAAAAACTGTTCTTCACGGCTAACAAACAAAACTGATTTGCAGAAATAACTTCATGTGAGATAGTTGAAGGCCTCCAAATTGATTCATTGAAACTTAACAGCGAAAAACAAGATCGATGCTTTAGGTTTTGCTTCAATTCCTGTACAATCATAACACCATCCGCTCATCTTTCTTTAATTCTCTTTGATTTTCAGTCAAATTGGTCAGCTGCATTCAAAATCGCACTTTTGTAGCTTGTACTTCTGAATCCAATTACTTACCTATCTATCAATTAAGATATCTATCAATTACCAGACAAAAGCTTTCAGTTTAACAATATGACTGATTAAAACAGATTTAGTTGAATTAAAGCAAATGACTCTCTTCATAATTTCTCTGGAAAACAATTTTATGATTATTAACATTTTTACAATTTGTACATTGAAAACAGTAGTTATATTGGAACCTGATCTAAACTACATTTTATGATTGGATAAATTAGATATTTTACCAATGTAAAGTATTTAATATTAACCAATCATGATCCATCTAACTAACAACCCACTTATTTGTAAGTGCTGAAGTTACTTGTAATTTCAGCACCAGAGAGATTTGAATTTAACTTAGAAATTAGTTGGACTCTCCCGAGCACTTCAGCAGCCGCAATAAACCAGTATACCCTAGATCTATTGAGCCTAGCAGAGACTAGTTAAACAACCTGAGACTAGATAGTATAAGAGTAAGATTAGGATCGGTATTAGACTAAGAAGTTGCACGAATCTATCCGGCCGAAAATAAGATAGCGTGACGAGCAGACGGTGTACCCTATCCGAAATTACTCTATGAGTTATACACTCCAGTCCTAACTCATCTGGTGCGACCATAAGTCTCGAACAAGACCTTAATAGCTTAGAATTAACCAAAATAGATTAGAAATTAGACAAAAACATTTACAAAATGTTATACGACAATAATTTAATCGAAATGTCTCTACGACTCAATAGATCAGAGCCAATATTCCGAACCATAACAGAACTACCCGGAATTGGAAGAAGACCTCGAACCAGAGACGACATACGACAAAGTCGAAACTTGCCATATAGCTATATGATAGTTAGGCAAAAACCAGAACAAACTTTTATATTTAGAATACTACTGGCAATGAATTTAGATTTTCATTTGCAAACATAAAACCTTGAAGTTAATCTTCAAAATCATTTCAGGCGCTAAACAAAATTATTAATATACAATAACGATTGATAAAAAGATCTAAGATCGTTTTCCTAAAACTCTGCAGTAATATACAAAACATGTTTGAAAAATATTTATTGAAAAATAAAAAATAAAAATTAGTAGCATGACAATAAATGGTTAGTAATCATAAATCATCCTGTTGTTCCAGCTCCATCATCTAAAACATAACAGCAATCATAAACCCACTAATATCATCAAAACACTAAATCTTTCCTTTACACACATTTAAAATTTTATTAAAACTTAAATTCACCTAATTTTAAAACCAGATCATCAAGGCTTATCCTTGGATCTTAAATCATTTTCTACTTAATTAAATTTCAAATTTGATCATCAAGGCTTATCCTTGGATCAAACAGAACAACTTTGTTCTCCCCCACCCACTTAATTAGTGTCTAACGACCTCAAACGTCGATTCACTACCCAACCCTTTCTAAAGACCTAAGACTAATAGAAATTTTTAAACAAAACTAATCATTCAAATTAGGATAAACAGTGAAGAACTTCGGTTATTCATCCTTCACTTGACCCCCCCTCTTACCAGACCCAGGATAAATCTTAGACTTAGTAAGTTTAAAATAGTATCTAACGAACTACTCGCGTTCTAATTATACCTGAACCCTGTGGATCGATTTACTATTCTCCAACCCTTGAACACAATCACTACCCCTAAGTAAGATTAAGTAAGTTAACACCTTAACTTATACTAGCCACGAGAAAGTAAAAAATCATTCTTCGGAATCGATATACTTTTCTCTCCAACCCTGAACAAATAGACCCAGGTTAAGCTAACTAAAAAATCGTAAGAACTAACAGTTTAGGAAAATAGAAACCATTTAACAACCTTTTGCATCCGTCATCCTAAACCTTATGTCATTTAAAAACCTAGGAAATAAACAAACAATCGTTTTACACAATTGTGAAATAGATAACAAAAAATACGACCTTGTAATCACACCTCATACACAAACAGTTGGATACATTCGAACAAAACGACAAACACTAAAAAGAAAAATAATAACTAAACAAAGACAAATAACACGAAAAAGATTTTCAAAAAATCGAAACGCATTTTCAGAATCAGAAACCAACAGTTTAGACGAACTTTACAAACTAAAAGAATCAATAGATAAAAATTGCCCACTTCACGATCAATTATATTTTTCTGACTCAGAAACAACTTCAAATTCATCAAAAAGAGGAAAAAGAAGAATAAAAAAGCAGTATAAACACAAACCAGTACATTTATACAATTGGAATCAACCAATTCGACACATTAATAATTACATATTAACAGTCATCGAACGAAAAAATGAGCTCAACGCACACCCCAGGTGAAGAAAGTCCAGATGATGATGATATTTTCCCCTTTATAGTAGATGCAACCACTGATAGAGGACAGCATATATTTTGCAAAAATTTACTATTAAATTTATTTGAACCCGGAATCAGTCCATGTAAAACAGAGTTCCCAGATGTAAAAATCAAAACACAAATCATAGACCACTACTTAAAAGATATATGCAACATAACACAACAGTATGGAATCTACTCCATAGAATTCACCTCACCAAACCATAATCATAGAAAATATACAATCCAAACAGACGATCTTGATTTAGAATTTTCAAAAGTTTTTTCAGAATATATAAAAAGCATCCAATATCATAACTCACAAAGAGCAAACTCCATATTCACCAATGAAGTTTTCGCAATAATATATAGTTATATTTCGATATTAGAAAACGAAATCCCAATAACAAAGTCTCACCGACAGAAACATCTAAACATTTAAGAGTACGACATGAAATAACACTACTCTCTAGTTATTTAAACATCATTAAAGAAAATTTCACGAAAGACGACGTTTCACAACATACAAAACACGATCTACAAAAAATTTTGGCATGGTTCATAAT